ATATATATATATATATATATAGACTATTTATATGAGGAGCAGACTGTTTTGAGTTCAACTTCATCGCAGACCTCTCATCTTGAGCAAGCATGAAGGCGCCAGTGGAAAGGAAAAACCTTTAGCAAAACCAGGCTCAGAACCAGCAGTCATCTGTTTCAGTATGAGAGGAACAGGAAGGGGGAACAGATACACAATGGCAGGTCAAGAATCACATGTTAAGATGGAAATAGTATCAAATGAAAAGTATTCAGTTTTAACAATTCATTTAAGGAAATTAGGTCAATGTGTCCTCCTTTAGTCTAAGCCTATAGAGCATAACAAGCCAACCCCAACTATAGGATTTATCAAAAAGGAAAGTCTTAAGCCCAGTCTTAAAACTGGACAGTACCCTTACGGACAGAAATTGGAAGTTGGTTCCACAAGAGAGGAGCCTGAGAACTGAAAGATCTTCCTCCAAGTCTGCTTTGGGAAACTCTAGGAACCACAAGTAAGCCTGCAATCTGAGAGCAAAGTGCTCTGTTAGGAAAATATGGAACAATAAGATCTCAAATATAAGATGGAGCTAGGTTGTTGAGGGCTTTGTAAGTTAGAAGTAAGGTTTAGAAAATAACTTTAATTAAGCAATGCTATAAACATCTTTTTAAATACCATTACATAAATTGGTTTGGCTCAGCCTTGTGATGGTGGCTGCTTTTTGTGCAGATGATCCATTACAGCAACAACACACAAAGTACTATAACACCTTCATCAGCTCATTACTCCATGTTTGTAATCTCCACTCAAATTACATGTTTTATTTTTACTCATTAACTCTTCTGCTTTGTGTTCTTCACCAAATATGTTAAGGCGGCATATTAGGAGTTTGTGGGCTTCATTTTGTCTTTGTCTGCTTCAATTTAGTTTCAGCGTTGACAAACTTAGTGTGATCTGGTGACATCAGAATCAGAATGCCTTTATTGTCATTATACGCAAGTACAATGAAATTAAGAAAATACGTGTATGATTATTTAAAGTGCATGTTTAAACTTTTACTTGACTTCCTGTTTCATGTCTGGTTTCATTGTTGATCATTTATTTCTGTTTCAGGACGGTGATTCAGTATGAAGAGTTTTATTTTTAAGTTTCTGCATTATCTCATGATTTTGAAGCACTGGAAAAGCTGTAAAATAAACCAATTACCTCAGTAAATGGGTGGCATGCAACACAAACAGTTTAAGAAAATGTGGTTAAGCAGACAGGAAGAAAAACAACTGCACGGAGGAAGGTGAACAAGCCAAACTGAAATATTGTGTGACTTCCAGTAAAAACACAAAATTTATTTCAGTCAAAAGAAACTTCCTGCAGTATTTTTTTTTTTTCTTGTTGTATAATTTCTCTGAGCTGGAGAACTCACTAGATCTGATTTCAAAGTTTAGATTCCTGTGCGTGCAAGTAAATGTGAGATCAAATGATGCAACAAGGACAGAACAATCAGAACTCCCTGTACGGTCGTGTTTAACGTCATGAAACAAGCAAAATGTAACATTTCTAAAAAGGAAGTCACTGTTTTTGCAGCAGTTCATGTAATTATTCACGTTTTTACGTTTGTGTGTCGCTGTGGTCAGAACCGACACCACATCCAGTGCGTGTCATTGCTGCTGTTTGTCTTGCTGAGTCGTGCTCTCTGTCCTCCAGGTAAAGCTCGTCGTTTTCTGTGTCTCCGTGGAGCCGTGAAGAAAAATGCGGCTTTTCTTCGTAAGGCGTGTGCGTTCGTCTGCATGGACCAGCATTAGCTAAAGATTTAATGGATTCTTCTTCTTTTGCAAGCGGACTGCAACCTTTTTTCTTTTTCTCCTTTATTTTCGTCTTTATTCCCCCCCCCCCCCCCCCTACACTGAAGCAAGCATTTTTTTTATCTGCACTCTAGAGCTTCAAGCCCTTAGTGGGTAGCAATGACCTCTCAGCTCTGTAAACCGTTTATTCTCATTGTCTTCCTGAGGTCCTTCGTAAACCTACCGTTTAATAACAAGCCATTAAATGATCATTTTTAAAGCCATGCATATCATTATGCTTTCACACTGAAAGCCAGAAGTTTTGACCTCAATCACTGCACCTGCTGCAGGGAAAATTATTTGTCTGTTGCTTTTAAGCCCCTGTAATTCTTCCAGGTGCTCAACTTTTAGCTACGCTAAAGTGAAAAGTTCAGAACAAGGGGGGGAAAAGGAGACAATGAGAAGAAACTAATTTGCAGTTTTGAAATGAAACAACTTTGAAAGGAAATAACTTGCCTGACTCGTCTGAAAAAACAACAAGAGGACAGTGTCATCGACTAATTAATTACATGTTGCCAACTGTAATTTAAGACACAACTTTAATACTTGGAACACAGTCCTCTTCTTGTTGTTTCAGATTCCTTTCCCTACAACCCCTCCTGCATTACTATGAGATCTAGTAGGAAAATATGTTGGAGAAAAATATGGCTAAAGTGGAAATTTTAGTCTTTATGCACCTTTTCTCAAGCGCTCAACTCTGTAAAGTGAAAAGCTAAATTTTCTGTACATTTTAATTCACATTTCTAATAAGAAGCAGCTAAAAAAAATCTGATAGGTTGATAAGTTTAAGAGTTTTTCTTGCACTTATAATTGATTGAGAAGTATGAATTATAAATCTACGTTAAAAATCAGGATGATTCATTCGTCTGTTTTCACGTCTCTTTTAGCAAATACATTAAAAATGTGACTTAACTGAACGATTTTTCATCCCTCATACAATTCAAATTGTCCCAAACTTGTGAGGACTGATTCTAAAATATGGCCTTAGAATAAATAATAATGGTTTATTAGTGTCATTTTTCCCCATTGTCATTGCTCATAACATAAATTAAGCTGTAAATGATGGTTTTATTAAATTGTTTGCATTGTTTCAGGGTAAAGATTAATATGTTTTATAGTGAAATACTGTTATGACAATTCCTTTAATTTAAAAGAGTATATTGCACTCAAGATTTTTAATTTATGCAAACTGTTGAGGGGCAACCTCTGATGAGCTTCAAGTTAACATGGAGAGGTGATTTCAGCAGCTTATCACACACTACCAGCTGAACTAAGTGGAGTCCTACTGGTAAAGTTCCTGGAAAACCCCAGAACTGAAGGAATGCCTTGAAAAACATAATATATGCAAAAGGGTTCAAACTGGCTCATCTAAAAAGCCTTTTTTTATAGTAATGTTTTATGGACAAAGGAAAGCAAAAAAATTGTGTTTTAAAAATGGAAATTTTGTCACAATGTCTGCAAGAAGGTTAAAAGTGAAAGTTGTGGGGTTTTCAGCAAGAGAAGGATCAGCTGACATTCAGCTGCACAAAGGAATAATTAAAAAAAGAAAATATGTAACATTTTGAACTGTTTAGGAATAAATCCTTTTGTTACAACAATGAACAAGTGTCTGGAAATGCAAAAAACATTGAAATGCATGCAGATACCCCCTTTCTTTGCATATGTTACAACCCTTGGACTGGGTCGAACTAAACGAAGCTAATGGCTCAAAAACAGCCCAATTTGGCATTACAATGATTTACCGGTGTTCTTCTAATTGTTTCAGGCGCTACAGACAGAAGGGAAGCAATGAACTTCAGCATCTCCAAGGCCAAAACAAACAAAAGAACGCCCCTTCTGGCTAGAAAATAAAATCACGTCTTATCTAACAAAACAAAAACTCCAATTCTTGAGCTCCCTGGCCACAAAACTGGAGAAAAGTTAGTTAAAATAAAATGGCAGTGAAAGTAAAGTTCACAGGAGATCAGAAAGATCTTCTCAGAGTTGCTAAAACACGTTGTACACGGAGTAAAATTCAAAGTCAGCCTCATGACAACAATGCTCAGGGCCAAGTGGAAATGCCCAAGGACAAAGGGGTGTGGTGCTGGATCACTGGAGCTTTACTGCGCTGAGGAGGAGGAAGTGATTCCAGGTGTGTAGCATGGTGAGACAGCAGGTCTGTTAACAAGCAGAGGAGGAGAAAGATTGTCCTCTAGTAACAGAACCCAAGTAACACATATTCTGCTACTAAATATAAGATATTTTGTTTTCAACAATAAATCTTTTTTTGCTCAACAAACTTTATATATCTGGGGGAAAGAAATATTTATTTGTTGAATTATTTTCCAAAAACGGTTAATAGTTTGCCAAGAACTGTCCGTAGTATTTAGGGTTGTATATCTTTAGAGACCACAAATTCTTTAGCGTTCAACTCTGAATTCCCCTTTCTACTGAAAATACATGACCACTGTTTCCATCGTGTGATTTTCTTTCCTTTCAATCATTTCTCCTTCCCTCCCATGTTCCTTTTCCACCTTCCTTCTCAGGTCTTTGGGGTTTCCTCTAATATTAGATATTAAACTAGTTCATAGCTCCGTTGAGGGGAAGGCATCGAGCTGCTTTTGTGCAGTATTTGAAAAGGCCTCAGCCTCCGGAGGAACCGGAGGGGCCTCGGGTCCATTTAACCAAGCAGCACAGCAGCAGGTGACACGTGTTGAGAGCCGAGGTAACATACAACGTGTTCACAGCTGAGGCTTCAATTTTCAGGATTACTACCTTGATCTTTACAGCTCTGAACTCATTTATGACCATCTGCCAAAGAACAGCAGCCTACTGTACTGTAGCTCAGTCTGAGATATGAAGTCACCTAAGTGCTTTCAGGCTATCAAATAATAGAAAACACATTTTTAGAAATTTCCATCAAGCAAGCCATATAATAAACCACTAAAATGTTTGGGAGCGAGAGGGAATTTTGGAACAAAAACGCTCAATCAAAAGCATTGATTTCTGATAAAGTAAAGCACAACTCTCTGACCAACTCAGGGCATAATTTGAGCCGGATCCTGCTGGAACAGGATCCGGGAACTCGCTTATGTTGACAGGGTACGTTCTGGTAACTGTTTGTTTGAATCTGGTAACTCTCAGGCTTACTAATAATAAAGTTATGAACAAATATGCCTGCCTTTAAAGAATAAAACCTATATCGGATCTGTAATTTGAAAATAATTACATAAACACTAATTTTAAACATAACAGCCACTTACGAGCTTCCTAATATCATGTAAGATCTGTTCCTTCAAGTAAACATTTCTGCTTCTACCCTTAAAAAAATCTCGACCCCTAACAGTCCAGTCATGGGCAATTTAATTAAAAATACAGAAATATAATTAAACATCACTAATAAATTGCAAATCACGTTTACAGTTTAAGTAGATCATTATTAAAATTTTGATTATTTATTAAAAATACAACAAAAGCAGTGTATGATGGGTAACCGTATATGTCACTTACCAAAACAGCGGCACCAATTTAAGAAATGAAAATGTCAAAAAGTCAGGCCAATTTACTTTCATTAAAAATAAAGTCTTCTCATTGCATAACTAAACAACCAAGAATTGAAGCACATGAAGGCAGTGGCAGTGGAGATACTGGAGCAGGTACGAGGATGCTTGAGAGAAGTGGAGCATGCTCTATTCACACAAGGGGAGCTGTTGGTCAGGCTACTTCTTGTTGCTCTCTAAAATAGTTATTGAATTAAGTGTTTACAAATGTAGATAAACATAGATGTTTAACAACCCGTTAAAATACACCAGTGTGCAGGAAATGGTATCTACTTTATTAAAAATTTTCTGGGAGAGGACACACTTTTTTTTTTTTACATTTAAATGTGAAGCTCCAACACTTACAGCTCTATAGTATTTACTAACAAAATAGTCAAATACATTTTGATTTAATTTTAATTTTTTTAATTACAAATGAGTTAAGAAATCCCTAAAAATCTTGCAAGTAATGTAGCCATTAAATATATAATTCTGAAATAATATTTATTTAACAAAACTTCAGGATTTTGTTGCATAATTTGGGAACAAGTGAAATTGACTAAAGGTATGCTTGTAAAAGTATTTATTTTTCATTAAAGTTGGATGAAAACTGATTATACATTGGCAGCATTTTAATTTACCTGCGGTACTCCTTTTTTTTTTTTTAAGACTTTGAGTTCAACATCAGATTTTTTTAAATCCTCAGACTGAAAACACTTTTTATATTATTTGTAGCTAAACTTACAGAATATGAATGCAGATGCTATTTTCTTCATAATTCATCTTCTTTTTCATTTTCTCTCTGCCTCTGCTTCACAGTTAGCATGCCGGCCAGTGAGAATGAGTCCGTCAACACAGATAACGCCCCCGGGGGAGACGTGGAGGGGGAGACCTGCTGCACCCGGCTGGCGTAAGTCCCTCACCCTCATGCACACCTCTCCTGATCCCTCTATTCCTCGGCTGTCTCTGTCAGTGTTAAGACGTGGTGCAAGCGGCTCTGCTTGCCTCCGCCCGTCAATGATCTGAATTAAAACAGCTTTCTGTCATGCACTGAGGAGCAGCATTAGGTCGTCAGTACGCTTCATTTTGACAAAACTTGAATGAAAATGGACATGGATTAAATGGAAGAGACAAATGCTGGCATGCGGTGGTGGGCTCTTTCATTTTTAAAGTCTAGGAAATGACTTTTCACCTTTATGAGACGGAAGTTTTTTAATTTTCCCCCTCAAGAAAAAGCTGGAATTGAGCAAATTTTACTTTAGTTTTAGGTATTTTGGGTCTTAACCAATGTGAAAATGTATTTTTAGCTCTTGACATATATTCAACTACATTTCCCTTCCTGTGTTTTTGATCTGTGTTCCTCCTCTGTTCTGCATGTTTAAAATGCTTTTCTTCCTCTCCTATGGGAGCTCGCAAACAGCTGACTCACCCGCTCCTGCTCTCCCCTCCGCTTTCATTTTTTTTTACATTATTCAAACAAATGAGTCGCTTTCTTTCCTACACGCAAGACCTCGCAGGAGCCGTGACCCCAGCAGGCCTCTGCACAAGCAAACACATCCACACACAAAACAGCTCATCGTTGGAATTGTTGTGAAATAAAAGAAAGTTGCAGAGAATTTCCAATTCAAAACGCATTCAACGTGCATTATGTGAGGGTCAGTACAGTCAACAGGCACTTGAATGGCATATAGTTGTTGTTCTTTCTGTCCATCTGGTAGTTTTGTTTTTGTGTTTTCTGTTAGTACAAAATACTTCAAATTAAAATGACGTCATATTTTTAGACATCTTATAAGAAAAAAAATAAATAGAGGGTGTATGTTTGTTACCTATAAGTTAAACCTAAATCTGACTGAAAAGCATTAAATTCAAGTTTCTTTTTATTAATTTTTTCAAGTATATTTACAGTGTGGGTTTGATCAATTTAAGCATAAAATCTTGTTTTGTGGTTCTAGGCAGAACTGATTTACCAACAATCAGAGAAAATTGGGAACTTTTTCTAAAAATGGAATAAAAACTGACTTGAATACCGTATTTTCCGCTGTATAAGTTGCAGCTTTTTGCATAAATTTGCAAGTCATGCAACTTATACACCAAAGCGACTTATTTATGTTTTTTCCCCATATTTATAACCCAATTTTTGGCTGAAATTTGACAATTTCATTCATTCTGACATGGAAAATATTGACCACTACCATTTTCAGCAGCTAGAGGGCCCTCGAGTATTATGGCAAGCCAAGTGTCTCATTAATACATAATAATAATAATAATACATTTTATTTGAAAGCGCCTTTCAAATCACTCAAGGTCACCGAACAAGAAATACAAAGATTTTTTTAAAAACTATAAAATACAGATGTCAATAAAATCAAATGCAAAAAAATGATAAAATACATAATGACATTAAACAGAATAAGCAAGTTTGAAAAGGTGAGTTTTAGGGTTAGATTTAAATGAGTGAAGAGAATCAGAATTCCTTTCCTTTGACGTAGTTCTACTGATGATCCGGGCAGCTGTGTTTTGGACAAGCTGAAGTTTATGGATGGTTTTGAGAGGAAGATCTGAAAGGAGGGAGTTACAGTAGTCTAATGGAGAGGTGACTAGAGCATTGATAAGGATGGCTGTGCTGGTGGGGGTAAGAAATGAACAGAAATGGTTGATGTTTCGAAGATGAAAATATGCAGACCGAGTAATGTTAATGACATGAGATTCAAAAAATAAAGTGCTATCAAGGATGACACCCAGACTCTTAGCTGTAGGGGAGAGAGAAACTGTGGAATCATCAACTTTAATTGTGAACATATTACATTTGGATAAGGTAGACTTGGTGCCAACAAGGAGGAATTCTGTTTTCTTTGAGTTCAGTTTAAGAAAGTTTTGATTAAACCATAATTTGATTTCACAGAAGTAGTCCGAAATGAAGGATGGTGGAAGGGTGGTGTTGGGCTTGGTGGAGAAGTAGAGTTGGGTGCCATCCGCATGGCAGTGAAAATTAATACCTTTTTTTTTTTTAAGATAAGGCCAAGTGGAAGAAGATAAATGATAAACAGGAGAGGACCAAGATCAGAACCCTGCGGTACACCTGAAATAACTGTGGAGGACTGTGACATGAAATTCTTAAATTGGACAAAGTGCTGACGGTCAGAAAGATAAGATTGAAACCAAGTTATAGCAATGCCAGAAAAAACAATGGAACATAATCTATCGAGAAGAATATTGTGTGAAATGGTATGAAATGCTGCACTCAGGTTAAGGAGAATGAGAAATGATAAAAGTCCAGAGTCAGCAGCAACCAGGAGATCATTGGTGATTTTAATCAAAGCTGTCTCGGTGTGGAGGGGGCGGAAACCAGACTGAAGTTCTTCAAATATTATCAGATTATCAGAAAGATGATTGTGAACCTGGGCTGCAACTGTTTTTTCGAGTATTTTGGAAATGAAGGGTAGGTTAGAAATTGGTCTAAAGTTATTTAAGTAATTTGGATCAGCACCTGGTTGTTCATCTTGTTAAAGTCTTGTTAAAGTTGCTCCAGCTGTCACTTTTTGACAGCCAATCGATTTTTGGCACAACACCGGCCCACGTTTCCGGGTGGTCAGCGGTGACGCATAATGGATGCGACTTATATGGCGAAGCAACTTTATGTTTTTTCCACTTTATTTGACATATTTGGACTGATGCGATTTATACAGCAGTGTGATGTGTATGGCGGAAAGTACGGTACATCTGAACATTTTATTTAACAAACACAGGTCATTATTTTTGTTGTCTTCACAGAACAAGTTTAACTAATTTGATGTCAGCAGCACAAAAGCAAAGAAAACCAATTGTTCTTGAAAAAAAAAAAAACTCTGTTCCCAAAGATTTTATATTCTTCAGATGAATCAGCAGAACTACATTTTGATCAACATTTTTTTCTCTCAAATTTCTGAGTTCTTGTAAATCCCATGTGACTTAATCATAACCCGTGGAGTGGAGACATGTCAACAGTGGAAGCTCCTGTTCTCTGATTAACTGAAGATGGTTCACTGAGAGTGAACTGCATCAAACAGATTGTTCTGTTTGGTACAATAGATTCAAGAGTTATCAAGCTGTGCTCTAATAACTATGATGATTGGTTGAAGAGACCCAGTTTTCCTGCTGTTTAACTCTAGAAACAAAATCAGACGAAGAATAACGACTCATTGCCGGGTTTTGCTTATTTAACCACAGAGTGTTACCGATTAAGAATTTAGGAAAGCAAAGACATTTCATATGATGACCTAACTTTATATGTAGAAAAGAATATTGTAAGACAGACGTGGGCAACATATGGCCCAAGGGTCAAAAGTGGCCCCTGAACAATGTCTATCCGGCCCCCAACATCCTTAATTGAAAAGAAAACTTATCAGCATTTTATCAATGAAATTCAAGGAAATCTAAATTAAGCATCTTGGACACATCAAAAACCTTTGGTTAAAAAAAAGCTTTTTAATCGACACGTTTTTATGTTTTAATTTAAATTTTTTATTTTGCATTTTTAAGCTAACAAATATATATTTATATTTTCATAAGATAAAGTTTACAGAGAGTAAGTCGTACATCATAAAGATTACTGGGGAAACATTTTTATCAAGTATGCTAACTACGCTACAACAACAAAAAAAAAAAAGCCTTAACAAAGTCTCCTGATATCTGTTTTAAATTTAAAAAATATTTTCTAATTCTCTATGAGGCTCTTTGATTGCTTTCCATATTTTGATTATGTCCTATGAAAAAAAAAAAAAAAAAAAGTTGCCCGCCTCTGTTGGAAGAGGTGGTATTTATTCATTTGTAACGTTTGAAAAAAAAGTGTTTTTCTTAAATCAGATGCGCTCTTATTCTGTCTCCCCGCAGACGTTTTCTTCCACTTGATAGAAAATAAGAGACGTTCAGTGTTTGTCAGTTCTCACATTGCTGGGAGTCAAACCCAGAGATACGAGCTGCTTCAGCACCTGCTGATCCACTAATTAAGACGGACACATGAGGAGCTGCATCTACTGTCAGGCCCCATATCCAGACAGTCACTCATTTTATTTACTATTTTCATTCAGGCTCTTAACAAGCCGTTTTATTGTTTCAGTCAGTTGTTCGGACAGCTGCTCAGTCAATTCATGCATTTTTAGTAAACAAATCAGGACACAGTTGAATAAAAATCTTAAAGGAAGTTTAAGGGGACAGAATAGTTTGTCCAACACTATTTCCCAGTAAAATAATCTTTTGCTCATGGTCCACTGCTCAGTTATACATTAAAAACACATTTAAAAACATGATAAATTCAGGTTTCCTCTATGAATGGTTTTGTTTTCTTCTGTCAAACTGTCCTCCATGATCTCTTGTCCTCAGTTTTCTGTGTTGTACCTTTTGCTGTTACAGTGGTGAACAATCAACAGATGTTTTCCATCAATAACTCTGATTCTTCACACCCGGTTTGATTGGAGCATACTCAAACTAAGACTTTTCATTTGACTGGATGCCACTGTATCTGTGTTCACAGGAGGTGATTTGTTCACAATAAAATCTGTAGGAACGTTGTTCATTTTAAAATATTGTACCCTCCGATGTGTGGGTGCATGAAAATGAACAAAGAACATTTTTGTCAAAGCAATTGTGACAATGAGGGAAGTTCTCCCCTCTCAAATCACCTCCGTCATGTGCACCTGTCTGTGTGTGTGTTATGTGTGTATGTATAATCCATTCTGTTTTCTGTGTTCCAGAAATAGGATCTCCAAATCCAAGTTCAGGTTAGTAAATGTTTACCATAGTCCTCTAATACTGGGTATTTGTGACTGTGTTTGTGTGTACATGAGTGTGCTTTGCATTCAATTTAAACAAACTAAACTCTAAAACTTACTGAATCTACTTACAGATTTCTTTAAGGTTCAATAATGAGGACGTTTTATGTTATTTGTAATAAATAAATAAAAATCCTTTGCTGTTGGGTGGTTAGAGACATACTTTTGTTCATTTTGGTGGTGTTCCTAAAAATTAAAAAAACACTTAAATGTTTGCCGATTTCCCTGTTTCCAATTACCGGTACAGTCTTTTTTGTTGTAAGCCAGACACTGTGCAAATGTTAGACCAGACTTGCACTAATCTTCCTATCTTGACCCAAGTGAAAAGTGAACCGTGTTTTTGACACTGAAAAACCTGAACTGAACCTAAGTTGCCTCAATAAGTTGCTAATCTTGCGCTGCAAAACAGACAAGAAACAAAAAGATCTGGCACGAAACACTCTGGAAATGTACGTACGCGTTAAGGAACATAAGTATACTGAGCTGCAGGTGGGTCGGTTGGAAACAGGAACATTGTGTGGCATGAAAAATACAGAGGAGCTACTTTACCAAAATAAAACAGGAAGTATGAGGTGGGATAATAAGATGATATAATTACTGCTTGGGTAAAAAACATACGAGTATCTTAAAGGGCCGTTCCTTATAGAAGACAGAAATTATTTTACAATATTTTATCCAAAGTAGAACCATAATACTAAAAGCACTGTACGCTGTTTGTGTTTTTATCTACTTGTGTTATGTCTTAACCTCGGATAGCTCTCACAGAACCCAACAGGAACAATGCGTCTCTATTGATAAAAACAGGGAGGACTTCCTGTTAAGCCGTGTTAACCTGTTTTGATCAGCAGATGGAAAACGACTCATCATACACATCTGGTGCAGCAGAACAGAGAAGGACACAACCTGCATACCGTAATGTCCAGACTCTAGAGCGCACTTGAATATAAGATGCACACACACAAAAAATGTACAGATATAAGCCGTGCTTTGTGTATGGACCGCAGGTGTTCACGTTGTAACTGGAGATTTCTGCACAGAAAGATTTTATTAAATACTTAGCAGTAACATACACAAATATGCACAGTAAATGTTTTTTTTTAACAATGCCTTTAACACGGCTGGTTAAAACAAATACAGTAGCTTACCAGGAAAAGCCACTGATTGCTATGATCATCTTCCTCCTGTGCACTAAAACTACTAAAGTCATCTTCTTCAGTGTCAGAATTGAGCAGCCTCATGAAAACTCCATCACTCCCCTCCCTGTTTCATTGGTTCGACTGTGACCCGTTTGGTAATGTCAATGGTCAGACTTTTTAAACTTTATTTATACAGGTAGTTTCATTGAGTCACAAGGTCCCACCCCCCAAGAGAGACATGTATTGGGCAGCCATGTGAGTGCCCGGGTGTGATGAAGCTAAATGTTTTTGATGGCAGGAAGCTCGTTAGCTTGTCCAAAAAAATTGAATTAAATTAATTAAAATAAAATCCATAAATTAGCAGCAGCATTGTATAAGCTGCAGGGTTCAAAGCCCGTCAAAAAAGTAGTGGCTTATAGACTGGAAATTACGGTAAATACAGAGCTGATATATGTGATGCTGAGTGTATTTAAGCATTTAAATAATTGCTTCCTCTTTGTCTTCTAAAGTTTTTGGTTATTTTTAAATTTCTCAATATTTATATTGTTGCCATGTGAACAATGTGCTTTGAGTCGAGGAGTCTAACTCTGATTTTTACTGATGGAAGCTTCTAACATCCTGAAACAAATGCATGAAAGGAGAAACTGTCCTCTGACAAAAAGGCCCATGGGTCTTTTGTTTACCAAGGGCATAATGACCCTTTAATTAGCTTTAAACAATACACAACCCCTAGTGGTTGCAAGAGCAGCAAGAAAAGTGTCAGTCAAGATGTTTTCTAACTTTGCAGTGTTACTGCTTAAACACAACCATGAACTGGCATCCTAACCAAACAAAACCACAGAAATTGACATATAAATGTCTAATAATGCCCACTTTTTTGGAAGTTTAGTTTTTTGTTAAAGAAAATGCTTTCCACTTTGGTTTGATTCCGAAATGCACAAAACCTGTAAGCTTATATGGGTTTGCTGGTGAAGATTCTCAGTCATCCAGGACATGATAAATTCAAAAAACGTCCAGTTGTTTTTGTATTGAACGTTTTTTTTAACTTATATGGGTTAAAAAACTGTTTATGAAAGTCTAATGTGAGATTTATACATCAGTGTTTCTCCACAGCAACGACTGTTGCCTTCAGTTATTTCAGTGCCACTCACTCCGAACAAGACAGTTATGAAATTACTGAGGGAAATTGTTGGGTGTTGATAAAAAAAAATTAAATAGTATGACCCTGTTTGTCAGGCGCACAATAGATTTAACTGCAACGTGTGAAGCTGGTAATTACCAGAGATAATAACAAGAGGGTGGAAAAGAACTTGCAAACAATGCAGAAACAAATACTAAACCCCTAGTTGTTATTCTAAAAAGAAATGTCTTTTTATTCTTACGTGTTGCCTGAACTGTGTATTTTGACATTCAGCTTTAAATTTGCAAATGTTTTTTTTTTTTAATCTGTGCAACAAAAACCATCATGATGATGTTAAAAAAAAAACTCTGATGATGACTAACGTTGTTCCACAGCTCGCTTTAAAGCACCGGACTGAGGACTGATGCCATCACAATTCTGCTCACAGACTTACTGGCTTTCTCTCGTTCTCCTTTCTCCTCCACTTATTGTCCTTCACTCTTTTCCCTTGTTTCTTTTGATTATGTCTTGTTTGTCCTCTTCTTCTATGTCATCTCCATCCTTTAACCTCCACCTTTCCCCTTCTACTTTAAATCTCACCCCATCCATCCCATCTTTCCTCACCTCTCACCCTCTCACCCTGTCCTTCTTCCTCTGCAGTCGCTACTCTCGGAGGTGGAACAGGTTGTGTAGGAGGAAGTGTCGCGCAGCGGTCAAGTCGCAGGTTTTTTATTGGCTGGTCATCTTCCTGGTTTTTCTCAACACGCTGACCATCGCTTCTGAACATCACCAGCAGCCTCAGTGGCTAACTGATGTGCAAGGTACACCACACACAAAATAACATCATTAAACTGTTGAATGTGAACTGAAATCCTTGTTTATTATCACCTATAAAGGCAATAATGTTGTTGCCAGTGTTTGTGTGTATAGTACCGTATTATCCGGACTATAAGGCGCACTTAAAATACTTAAATTTTTTCAATAATTGACAGTGAGCCTTATAATCCAGTGCGCTTTATGTATTAATTCTGGTTGTGCTTACTGACCTCGAACTGATTTTATGTGGTACAACTGAACAATGTTGAGAGTTATTGTAAACGAGTTGAATAAAGTTTGACATATCTGACTGTTTCGTTTCGCTTAATGCGCCTTATAGTCCGAAAAATACGGTAGCTGAAACTCATCCAAGTGATCGCACAAATTCTTTCAATATTGCATGAAGTCGAGCATAACATCATTTACAATGTTCATCCAGAAACAGCTCAACTTAAAATGAGCTAAAACTCAGATATGAAAGGCAGCAAAATACACTCCTTTAAGGAATACTAGACCTTTCTTCTGTTTTCTTCCCTTCTCTGCAGACATAGCCAATAAAGTTTTATTAGCTCTCTTCACCGGTGAGATGCTGCTCAAGATGTACAGTCTCGGCCTACAGGTGGGTGGCGTCGGCTCTCTAATGCGTTTTGGTCAACTCTTATGAATATCGGGAGAAAAATAAACTTGGACCGTAACTTTTTGCTCCCTGCAGGCATACTTTGTGTCCCTCTTCAATCGGTTCGACAGCTTTGTAGTGTGTGGGGGAATCCTCGAAACGATTCTAGTGGAAACAAAGATCATGTCTCCTCTCGGCATCTCCGTGTTACGTTGTGTACGCTTGCTCAGAATCTTCAAAATAACCAGGTTATTATCAGCTTTTAAAGCATTTATTATTGATATTTAGCACCAAAGTCCAATAATGTCTTTTACTACCATTAAGGTGCGTTAGCTTTCCTAATAAATGCTACTTTTCCATTCAATTTCTCTCCCATAGATACTGGAACTCTCTTTCCAACCTTGTAGCTTCACTTCTCAACTCAGTTCGCTCCATCGCCTCCCTGCTGCTCCTGCTCTTCCTCTTCATCATCATCTTCTCACTGCTGGGCATGCAGCTCTTTGGGGGGAAGTTCAACTTTGATGAGACCAGGCGAAGCACCTTTGACAACTTCCCCCAGTCTCTGCTCACCGTGTTTCAGGTGACCTTGCTGCAGTGATTTGTGTTCACCTCGTGTTAGAGTAACAATTTCATATCAGGATTTTCATTTAGGGTTAGTTCACGGGCAGAAATTTTTCACATATAGGATTTTTTTTGTCTTGTTTTCTTTCTCCACAGATTCTAACAGGAGAGGACTGGAACTCTGTTATGTATGATGGTATCATGGCGTACGGCGGTCCATCTTTTCCAGGCATGCTGGTCTGCATTTACTTTATCATCCTCTTCATCTGCGGGAACTGTATCCTTCTACATGAGGTCTACATAAGATACATACAGCCTATATAATGTGGGTTTAATTCTTTATAATGAAGATAAAAGTGCAAGATAATCACCACGGCTGGATGACTTTAGCCCACACAAAATAGCTACAACTCAATTACTTTAACAGGTATTGAGGTAAAATTTTGTGTTGTAGTAGCCGACAATCATTCACGACACATACTCCAAGCACAAAGAGTTCATACAAGATTATTCAAATTAAACTGCACATAATGTTGCTTGCGAGGTTTGACGTTACTCCTGGCTATAACATAAGATGATCTTATTCTAAAACAAAGAAAGGTGGTGGACGGTATGCATTCTTTCCAGGAATGCTAGCCCTTTAATATTTTTTTTCCCATTTGTCCAGATGACCTGACTGAGAATTATTGGATTTGATACCTGGATGATTGAGCATGAACTTTGTTGCCATCCTATGGAGATGTTTATGATCCTCTCCCCTCCCACTGAGGAAGTCTGCGGACATATCAGAGGGACCCAGCTGAATAAACATTGTGTCATTGTTTCAGGACTCTTGGATTCTCTCTGGCACTGTCCTAGGTCAACCTCGGCACCCCTCGAGAGTGTTTACAAATCTCACCAGAGGGAACTGACTGATTATACCATTCTTATCAGAACTCCTACAGTGCCGCTGGAGTGTCCTTGGACACGTTCACCGCTCGTCATCTCCCCTCCCCTGCGGAATGTCTGCATCACTATGTGCTTATGTGCGCTACGTTTTTATCAATTTCAGGCTCTCTTTCCTCGGCCAAAAAGTGAGAGTCTAAGGATTTTTTTTTGCCTTCAAATCCTATACATGTCACTTTCATTACCTTTTTGTCTGTCTAAACAGGTTTCACTTGTAAATGAGTCTTTGAGGCTCAGTATGATTAATCTGTATAAATAAATGTTGGATTTTATTAATTTAGTGCAAACTGTCATGGGTTAGCTGCCTCCTTAATGCACTTCTAAACAGATATTCTGCTGAATGTCTTCTTGGCCATCGCTGTGGACAACCTGGCAGATGCCGAGAGTCTCACATCAGCCCAGAAAGAAGAGGAGGAGGCAAAGGAGAGGAAAAAACTAGCCAGGTGAGGCAAAAACAAGAAACCTAGGGAGGTAATCAGTGAGCTTCAAAAGAGCAGGACAGGAGAAAACAATTTTGTCTCCTGTCAACATCAGAAGAGGTTTTAGAGAAAGAAAAAGAGAATGAAGATGCTTAGCAAGCACCAAAAGAGAGCTCAAGCAGGAGGAGATGGTGTTATAGAGAGTGAAACTAATCATTACGTTTCGCTTTCGGTTGTGACTTATATTGATTTGAGGAGAAAGCAAGATGGAAAATATTCATTTCTCCGCCGGCTGTCCTTTGGGTTTGGTCATAACAGCTCAAGTTCTTTGTGTGCCTGAAAAGCGACCCTCTGATGTGGACTTCTGTGCAAGCTGGTGTTTTAATATAGAGATTACAAAAGTTAGAAGATGCCAAAAGTAAAGATCTCCCATTTTTATCAGGCTCGCCAGTCCAGAAAAGCGCCAAGAGAACGAGAAGCCACCTTTGGAGGAAAAGAAGAGCGAAAAGATAGAGCTGAAGTCCATCACTTCTGATGGGGAGACCAACACAGCCACTAAGGTATGAGGAGAAAATAAATGCTAAAAGCCAGTTTTCAGCAGGTGCATCAGTAAGTTAACAAATGAACAAAATGTTTTGCTGTTGCAGATCAACATGGATGACTGCTGTGGAGATGAAAGTGAAGAAAAGAACCCTTACCCTGCAAATGATTACATAGGTATAAAACGCAGACATATAAAAAGAGATATGTCAATAAACATAAAATTAACAACTTATAAGCAGCTATAAAGTTCTTTGTGTTCTGGAGATTGTGGCTTCAATGAAGCAGTGAATCACTGTCCTTCACCCCCCAATCAGGAGATGAGGATGAGGATGAGCCTGAAATGCCTGTTGGTCCGAGGCCGAGGCCACTCTCTGACATTCAGCTGAAAGAGAAGGCTGTTCCCATGCCTGAGGCTCGCGCATTCTTCGTCTTCAGCCACACCAACAAGTAAACAATCTAGCCTTTTATCAGTTTAGCCAGGGGTGAAGCTGTGGGTGGGTCTGGGGAGACCAAGGCCCATACCTTTTTCCCCCAATCCTTATTTCTTTTCTGGTCACTTTACTAAATACACAAAAAATGAAGCTTCTACAATTTAAATAAAATAAATGATCCTACTAAATAATCCTACTACTGCTTGGTTGTATTAGAGCTTAGTGTTGGAACGTTATTTTTTTGTGGACTGACAGTATTTTACAGATTAAAAAGAAAAAATGTTTTTGGTGTTTTATGCTGTGTTGGACATGTCTCAGCCATCTCAATGAAATTTGTTAATATTCTGAATACAGTTTGTTCTTAAAGTAGTTAAACAGTATGTCGGTTTGACTATTAGGCTGCACGTGTACAGTAAATCTCTACAAACACAAACATTTAAAAAATTGTTGAATTGTACAAGCAATATTAACATTTGTGCATATTAATATATGCAACAATGTGCTTTCAGTCACATTCATCTTTTTGTCCCTTTCTTTCTATTTCTTTTGTTTGGTTCAATCTCTGCATATAGAGTGACAAGAAATTTACTTGTAACTTTCTCTTCCGTTTCATTCAACAACTTTTATTCCATAGATTCAGGGTTCTGTGCCACAAGATCGTCAACCACAACATCTTCACCAACCTCATCCTCTTCTTCATCCTGCTCAGCAGCATCAGTCTGGCAGCAGAGGATCCAGTCAAGAACGACTCCTTCAGAAACCAGGTGATGTTTATAACCTGTCAAGGAATGCGGGTTTTTATTTAATTTAGGTTATTTTTTTAATGGTTTTCTTAGCTGTGTTATTAAAACAATACCCTTGTGTCCTGGAGCCTGGACACTAAAACTAACCAGACTGGTAACAATTGCAATCTACACAAAGGTGGACGACTGTTAATGTGAGTTTCCTCGCAGACGACGTCCTAATCCCCACTACTAGGTTGGGCGAACTGTGAGAAAAGGGTGTGGCTCACAGTATGGGCAAATCCCCTCTACGTACAGCCTAAGTAACTCGTTTCAAATTACTTTGGGTAATACTCAGGTTATATATACAGTCCACTGTACCCCTTGGAGGAGAGGCTGAGGTGAAGTTTCGGCCATCATACAGGGTGGTAGCGTAATCGTGCATAAAAACAAACCAAACTACATTTTTATCTTTAAAAAAAAAGGCAGTATTAACAGATATAATCAGTGGGGCAAAACAAAGTTATATCAAACAGCAGCAGGATGAAAAAACAAAAAGACAAAATGTGGCAAAAAATCAAAAGATCTGGATTACCATACAAACGACACCAGACAAACAGGACATTAAGGCACTGACTGAAGACTCTGTTGCCATCATTAGCTGCCACTCACATTTTTTGTGAACTAAATAGATTATAGCTGACAGCAGCATAAAGAAAAACCACGGCTTTTCTAACTGGCCTGTTACACCTAATGAGATTGCTTCCAGTACCGTGACTATTATCAACTTCACATGGAGAAAATGTAAAACATCTCTTCTGCTCTTTGGTCTCAGTTTAACTCGTTGCTTTCTCACTGATATTGTGCACACCAAAAACAAATGCTTCTTGCGTTTCAGTAACCTTACAAAATACAGGAAAGTGTCTTGAATGTTTTTTATGTGTTTTACTCACGGTGTTTACACAATGTTTTTGGAGCTCAGTATTAAGATGGCAGCAGAGACATTCTGCCTCAAGCTCAGGCTCTAACATTACAGAGTTACTGTTTGTGCATCTGTTGTATTTACTAATGAATAATTTGTTCACATGCTGTATTACTAAATAAAGCGTTTATGGGTGTAATAGTGCTGCTGTATAATGGAAAGACTGTGTGTCTGTGCTGTATTTGATTTTGTACATTGTTTCCTCTCTCAGTCAGCAGGAAGAGTCTCCCGAGTCCAACAAAGATCTGCTTTATAGCATTTTCCTGGCTTTAGGAGAAGATCTTTTATAGGCTAACCAATTAATCTTTCTCTAAAACTTTAATGAATGAAATTGTCTTTTTGAGATTTGGATGTGTTTTCAGTCTTTTTTTATATTCAAGTATTTTGTGCAGCTTATAAAGCTTTTCTATTAGTGTTGCATCTTTAAGCTTAGATCAAGAAAAGGACCCAAACAGATGATATACAACTTTTGTTTTCTGCTCATTCAGAAAGCCGCTTTATATCAAGAGGTAAAAACATTTCATTGTTTCTTGTTGGATTTTCAGATCCTGGGCTATGCAGATCATGTCTTCACTGGGCTCTTCACCATAGAGATCATTTTAAAGGTACTATTTACTCTTTATAATGCAAAAGTTTTGAACTTTTTAAGTCTATGTACATTATACTAGGGATGCGTCAATAGCACATTTTTATAAACAGAAAGTACACTACCTGGCCAAAAAACAAAAATCTCCACCTGGATTTAACTAAGCAAATAGGTATGAGCCTCCTATTGGATAATTACTGCATGGGTGATTATCTTTCAGCTGACAAGTTATTTAATCCCAACTAGTGCAATGGGTTGCTTCTCATTTCTTAAACAACCATGTTGAAAGACACATGGCGTGGTCTTGGAAAAGATGTCAGTCTGTTTGAGAAGATTCAAATCATTGGCATCAAACAGAGAAAACATCTAAGGAGATTGAAGAAACTACTAAAATTGAGTTAAAAACTGTCCAACGCATTATTAAAAACTGGAAGGATAGTGGGGACCCATCATCTTCAAGGAAGAAATGTGGCCGGAAAAAAATCCTGAATGATCGTGATCAGCTATCACTTAAACGTTTGGTGAAATCAAATGGAAGAAAAGCAACAGTAGCACTCAGGGCTATGTTTAATAGTGACAGTAAGAGGATTTCCACACGCACAATGTGAAGGGAGCTCAAGGGATTGGGACTGAACAGCTGTGTAGCCTTAAGAAAACCACTAATCAGTGAGGCTAACTGGAAAAAAAGGCTTCAATTTGCTAGGGAGCATAAAGATTGGACTCTGGAGCAATGGAAGAAGGTCATGTGGTCTGATGAGTCCAGATTGACCATGTTCCAGAGTGATGGGTGCATCAGGGTATGAAGAGAGGCAGGTGAAGTGATGCACCCAACATGCCTAGTCATTAATGCAAGATCTTGGTGAAAAAGTTATGCAACACTGGATGGAAAGAGATCTTGTGACATTGCAGAAGCTTATCGAAACAACGCCACAGTGAATGCATGCCGTAATCAAAGCTAAAGGTGGTCCAACGAAATATTAGTGCGTGACCTTTTTTTTACTGGCAACTTTTTTGGCCAGGCAGTGTACTTACTTGTTGTACAGTATGCATGCTTTTACTAAGTATTGATACTGATACCGGTACTGATACATGCCATAGTGTAACAGCAAAAGAGACTTGTTTTCAAGCATTAGCTTAGCACTTTCCTTGTAGTCCGTGTCAGTAATTTTTACCGGTACTCATTAAACAGTTTGTGAAGCAGTTTTTCAGGCTCATCATTGACCATGTGATAGAAAACTCTGATAACCACAGTCAGTTTTGGCCATATCCATGCTCTTCATGATGTTCTATTTAATTCATTTCAATTCAGTTCAGTTTATTTATGTAGCATCAAGTCACAACAGAAGTCATCTCAGGGCACTGAACAGAAACATTCATATATATGTAAAGTTAATAACATTATTTATCTGAGGAGCAGACTGCTTTGAGTCTAACTTCATTGCAGACTCATCCTGTTCTCTCCCAAAAATGGTGTACATCAACGGCAGTGGGTCAGCTTAAATAAATTAAATTAAATACTGGCTGGCTGTTGGTGGGTTCACCAGCTCTGATGGAGGCCTTCATCCTCCAGACAGGGACTAAGAGAATGACAGGAAGCTCAGGCTCCAATCCATGCATTCACACAGTGTTTTTTATTTATTTATTGTTCTTTCTCACCTGGTAAACTATATGATTTTTTTTTACCTATTTCCATATGGCTGACATTGCTCCTCCTCTACCACCTGACTGCTCACCTGAAAGGTGAACATATTGTGGTGTTGGAACATTTTACAAGTATGAGTAAAGGCACACAACAGTATCAGACCAACACACAGTACTGGTATCAGTATTGGTGGATCCTTACGATATACCATACATTTTTCTCAGATACAGAAATGGATTACAGTGCATTTATGTACCATCTTAAGATAAGATTTATAGAAGATAAATATCAACCATTCAAGGTTTAAGGTCAGGAATTAGACATTTCTTTTGACTGCAACATTTCCATTTATTATATGCATGTTCTGTACTAAAATATGTGTTTATTTGCAGATGACAGCGTATGGAGCCTTCCTCCATAAAGGCTCATTCTGCAGAAATTATTTCAACATTCTGGACTTAGTGGTAGTCAGTGTGTCTCTCATCTCTTCTGGCATCCAGTGAGTGCAGCATCATGTGTCTTGTGCATGTTTTACAATCTTAGTGACACTTTGATCTTTCACTCCGCCATCATTTTCACTATTTTGTAGTTTAAATATCACCATTACGCACATTTGTGATATAATAAGTTAAAGCACGTCTTAGGCTACTGCACTGGCTTCAATTTAAATCACACACAATTGCTAACTGTTTGAAAAAGCACACTTTTCTGAAGATCTTCACACCACGTTAACCACAAACCTGCCTTTCTTTGTAATGCTTCAATTAAAAAAAAAAATGTTTTCTGCTTCTCATTACACCTTGAAATGTTGTCATGTTTGTGTTTAATATGCTACGCTCTCTCTCTAATGCTTTAATAGCCTAGACTTCTCGAAGTAAGTCAGAATTAGTCCGTGTTAACAACCCCCTTTTTAACAGCCCTTCACCTTAACCATGTAAAGACGTCACTCCTTTGATTTCATATTTCTATGGTCTTGGAGAGTTTGTGTCAAAGTCTCAATTAAAACAGAAACAAAAGGAAAAGTGTGTCACCTGGTCGGTCTTATTGTATTAGCATTTAATGTATGATTTGTTTTCAGAAAGAAAATAGATTTGTGGTAAAAAATGCTTAATTTTTTACTACAAAATACGCTGCAACAGACAAAATATCCTATTTTGTCATTCAATTAACCTGCCATTCTCCAGTCAACCTTTATAATTGTTTAATAGGACAATATTTTTGTGTGTGTATGGATAAACTGAACTCTCCTAGGCTATAGAAATGACACGTGGTTTTTGCCTGTTAAAGGTAGCGAGTGTGTGTGTGGGATTTTTCTTGAATGCATCACAGTTAAATTAATTGTGATGGTGTTGCCTTTATTTGTGCCTGACATTTCTTTCTTGTGAGGACTTTTTGCTTTTATTGTTGTATAATTATTACATATTATAGAGCAAATAGAGCTTTTTTTATGTTTTCGCAAAACAGAATTGGAAATTTAATTAAAAAGTGATGATTCTTTAAAAAAAAAATCTTTCTGTATCATTAGTTTTGGACAGTTTACCCATTTGGGTTGTCTCTTTCAATAGCCAAGATGCAACAGCACCAGAAATAAAGGAAAAATAGCATCTTGGCTGATAAAGATACCAACATCTTGTGACCTCATATGTACGTTTGCTTTCTTATAGATGGATAGAGTACTTCTTGTCATCAGGTGGTTGGTAAATAGTGTTCTTCATCCCTGTCAGCCTACTCAACTTTTTGCAATGTCTAAAAACATTACGATTAAATTGCTTTTGACTGTTGTATGAATAAAGCATATCCTCACAGCTGGTTTGACTGTGATGTGGCTGATAACATCCCACTCCACGTGAACTGCCTTTAACTGCAACAAAACTTTTCCTCCCTCTGTAAAGAGTTGCTCAACGGGTGTATTCTTTCTCCTATTTACTCTTTTCAAAATTTAAATCACTCCATTAACCACCTAAAACGTCACCTCTTTAGAGAATATACACTGACATTTTGAACTTCTTCTGTCTTCTATCTTTTCATTTAAAATAAAAAAAAAAGATTTGGTTTGTTCTCCATTCATCAGAACAAAAAACTTATTTCTCCACAATGAAACAAACACATTGAGCCATAGAATTAGGACAATTAAGAGATTATATTTAGGGATCAATCAGATCCTCCCCCCAAAAAGAGCAATTTTCCAGTTTCTTTTAATCAGTTGTTGAATTCAAAATGTCATCGTATTAATTTGATTCTTCTTTTAGAGTTTTAAACTGTTCTTTTTAAGCACATCCTTTTAAGGGTCACACCTGTTAACCGTTGGCTTGTACTGACACTCTTTTACAGCACAGTTCTTCTCTGTTTGCCTGTAAATGTCCCTGTGCGTGGTTTTGTTTCTGTTTATGTGATACATATGGGTATACTTGATCATGTATCATATGTGTTTTTGTGGCTAAAATTCAGTCTTTCGTTTAACTAATTAGTACAACTAAAATTAGCACAAACGTGTTGGGTTTTTTGGTTATTTAATTAAATATATATATACACTCCCAATACTAAAAACATTTGGGACATTGTGTAAAATGTAAACAGTAACCAAATTCACTGGTTTTCAAATCTCATAAATCCATATTAAACATCTAAAATGTTTTAATAAAGAAACTGTACAAACCTTTGGGCGCAAGAATGTAATTTTGAATTTTATGGCAATAACATCTCAAAAAAAAAGTTGGGACAGTGGTAAAATAAAAAAACTTAAAAGTAAGTGGTATGAAAAGAAACAGCTGAAGGATAATTTTGTAACTAATTAAGTTATTTTGCAACAGATGACAGAGGAATGGATAAAAAAAGAACATTTTGGGGAGACTGAATCTCTCAGAAGTAAAGATGGGCAGAGGTTCACCAATCTGCGAAAAACCGTCTATTAACAGACAAATTTATTGACATTTGAAAATCATTTTGGAAACCATGCCATGTGCCAAATAGAAGATGGGCCACCAAGTCTGACTCTCTGATGGTATGGGTGTGCATTAATGCCTATGGCAGCTTACATATCTACAACTTTAGCCGCTGGTCCCTTCAGTTTCTAAACATTTAAGGCTGTTGTTAAAAGAAGAGGGGATGTTTCACAGTGAGACACTTGCTTCTGTCCAGAGTTTATGACATAGGCTTTTGCCATAAAATTCAAAAATACCTTCTAAAAATAAAAACGGCACAAGTTCCTAGTTTAGTCATTTGATGTTTATTGTATTCCATCATGAAAGTCTGGGTTAATCAGATTTGCAAATCATTGCTATCTGTTTTAATTACATTTTATACAACGCCCCTAGCTTTTCTGAATTGGGGTCATATATTGTGGTGATTATTTAAATGTTTTAAAAACATACAGTTTCAAAAAATTATATACTGATGACAAAACTACTAAACGTTGGGATGCACGATATTGGATTTTTGGCCAATATCCGATATGCCGACATGTTAAAACTTATTTTTCCGATAACCGATACCAATATTTTTTATACTTTCCTCTGTCAGAACATAACCCTCTTATTTAGGCTTATTTGCTACAAAAATTGTGCAACAGCTGTAAGAGCTGGTGACATATATTCAGTAACAGCATGCACAAGAGTGCACTTTAACTTATATTAAATGAAAAGTGTTAAATGTTATTTATTAGCGTTAGTCACCTGTGATGCTGTCTCACTTGTGGAGGCTTGTTCCAGGTTCCTAGCTGCAGTGTGGGATCCTCTGCACTCTTGTGCATGAAGGACAGCCTTTTTAAGTTCAAAGTTTTTGTCTATCCATTGTGCCGTAAGACTAATCATGCTAACAGGGCTAATACTTGATGTCCAAATGTCTGTGGTAAAACTCACCTAAGTGCTATCAGCTATTAGCTTCTCAATTACGTCAGAAATGACAGTTTGTAACTCGGGTATGGCTACGTCAAAAAAATATCTCCGACTGGGGACGATGTAGCGAGGCTCAATGTAGTCCATGAATCTTTGGAATCCGACATCCTCACCAACGAAAAATAAAACTTCCACACCGCCGACATTTTGAATTTTCCTCTCTGCCGTGAGATCAGGTAGGCACGCGTGACGTCATCACATTGTGCTGCAGGCATCCTTGTCACTGGGTTGTCATACAAAAACAGCACCTTTTATATTGTTGAGTTATTTTGATGGAATGGCGGATGTCCGATATTGAACTTTAACATTAATATCAGCCGATACTACTACCATGCCAATAATATCGTGCATCCCTAACTTAACGTTATACTTGCAGTTTTTATGGTTACTTTGTTTCATGTTTTGTTGAACGTTGATTTAAAAAAATAAAAATAAATCACTCTTATTTATGTGATAATTTTTAATTTTTTTGTAAATGTCACAGCTTTGTTTTGATTTTTTGTCCTTTCAAAAAATGTGGGTTTTCAAAGACAAACATGTACTAAATCACTTTGATTTGTCGTCATTTTTAATTCCTGCTGTTTTTCAGGTCCAGTGCGATTAATGTGGTAAAGATTCTGAGAGTCCTGCGAGTGCTTAGACCACTGAGAGCCATCAACAGAGCAAAAGGACTCAAGGTTCACACTCTTGTATATTAAAAACCAGAAAGAAAAGACTCTTCTTTACTAAAGGGACAGCACTCACTGTCATGTTTTGGTGTGTTTTTCAGCATGTGGTGCAGTGTGTGTTTGTGGCCATTAGAACCATTGGTAACATCGTCATCGTCACCACGCTGCTCCAGTTCATGTTTGCCTGTATTGGAGTGCAGCTCTTCAAGGTAAGAAGGGAGCAGACATCCACAAGTGGGATCTACAACTTTCTGTAGACTTTGGGAAAAGCTATGAGGGATTCTGACTGAATTTGGACATTTTTCAATCAGGGCAAGTTCTTCTATTGTACAGACAGCTCTAAGCAGACTCAGGCAGAGTGCAGGTAAGCCTTTTTTTACTTTGTCGGATATTTTTTCTCTTACAATTTGAAGAAATAGACAAACTGCATTTGTGGTGTGTCTTTGGGTTTCAGGGGTTCTTATATCATGTATAAGGACGGTGATGTGGGGAAGCCTGAAAAAGCCCTGAGACTTTGGGAGAACAGTGATTTCAACTTTGACGACGTCCTGCAGGGAATGATGGCCCTGTTTGCTGTGTCTACGTTTGAGGGCTGGCCAGGGTATGTCTCCATACAAACACATGTACACGGGCACTGCAGGTCTTATTTTTCCGTCTCAATCAATTAAAATGGCCTTGTCTCGTTGTTTGTTAGGTTACTGTACCGAGCCATCGACTCCCACGCAGAGGACGTCGGTCCCATCTACAACTACCGCGTGGTCATTTCCATCTTCTTCATCATCTACATAATCATCATTGCCTTTTTCATGATGAACATTTTCGTTGGTTTCGTCATCGTCACGTTCCAAGAGCAAGGAGAGCAAGAGTATAAGAACTGTGAGCTGGACAAGAACCAGGTAGCGTTCTTGTTTCCAATTACTGTAATTTCCGCCGTACCTGTCGCATCTGTCCAAATATGTCTAAAAAAAGAGGAAAAATCCATAAACATGGCACTTCGACATATACGTCGCATCTATTATGCATCACCGCTGACGCATCCCATTTGTTACACGTCACCGCTGACAACCCGGAAATGTGGGCCGGAGTTGTGCCAAAAATCAATGGGCTGCCAAATGGCGGCCGCAGGAGTGTGCACGGGAGGACTTTAACAAGAATTTAACAAGATTAACACTTAAAAACACTCATTTGTTTGCTTGACTTTATAGTAAAGGTGTGTCTCGGTCTAACGTTTGCTTAATAAAAGGACTTGACGTCAAATCAGTTGCATTTCAGAAGTATTTGATGCCTTGGTGCTCCGGGAGCGCGCAGAGGGAGGAAAAAAGAGGAGGAACGCTGCTCGTTTCTTCGAAATTTAAGAAGAAAAGGACCTAAAACAATTACTTGATTGCTAGAAATTAAAGCAAAGGTGTGTCTCAGTTGAACTTTTACTTAATGAATGCACTTTAATGGCCAAATGAGCTGCATTTTGCCGAGGCGGTGCAGCTGAATTGACGGTCGCTCCAAGCAGCAAGCAGAACAAAGGTGGGGAGTCTTTGGCAAACCGACTGTGTCAATAATAGCTGGTGAAGATTTTCAGTCATCCAGGACATGGTAAATTCAAACAAGTTCAAGACAAAAACAATAAAGTATAATAAATTAAGTCCAGTTGTTTTTGTCTCAAACTTTTTTTAAATTTGTCATTATAGCCACATATACCTTATTACATAATACCACGGCATGCCCTACTGCTACTACTACTCTGCTGTACTGTTCATTTTTTTCCCAGTCAAAATGAATGAAAACGGTCATATCTCAACCAAAGATTAGTTTATAAATATGGGGAAAAAAAATCCATAAATACGTTGCTTCAGCCTGTAAGTCGCAGGGCGTGTAAATTATGCAACAAAATGCGACTTATACTGCAAAAAATATGGTAAGATTTATGAGGCCATGCTGTGATGGAGAAACATGGATGATTCTTGAGAGGATGAACATAAGTTAGGGTTATTTTAGGCCACGAGGAAAATTCAGATGTTAAGGGCGTGGTCTCTGCATCTGTGATCTCAAACATGGAAATTGAAGAGGTTTATAGAACCAACTCTGTAGCTTTTTAGACACATTTTCAGAGCGAACACTGGTTGTGCCTGCTCATCTGTGTGAATGTGTATTACAGCGGCAGTGTGTGGAGTACGCCCTGAAGGCTCGCCCTCTGCGTCGCTACATACCCAAGAACCCTTACCAGTACAAGGTGTGGTACGTGGTCAACTCCACCTACTTTGAGTACCTGATGTTCACACTCATCCTTCTCAACACCATCTGTCTGGCTATGCAGGTGAGTCACACAAGTGCTCCCCGGTGTAAACTGATGCAGACACTTCCAAAACAACTCCTGTAAAGCTGCAGCTCTTACAAGACATTAATGGCTCATTTGTGGGTTTTTGCAGCATCATGGGCAGACCAAAAATTTTAACGATGCAATGAACATCCTCAACATGCTCTTCACCGGATTGTTCACGGTGGAGATGATCCTTAAACTGATCGCCTTCAAACCCAGGGTAGGTACAGCCCATCACAGTAAACTGAACCTAAGTCATGTTGACATTTTAAACACTGAGTTTCACAAATTACACACAACTGATTTTCCATGCAGCCATTTATTCTTGTTTTGATGTCTTCCATGATAATTACAGAAGCAAGGATTTGCTGACAGCTTTGTGTAGTTTTTATCACTAACTGCTCCCTTATTATTCTGCAGTAGTTGCTATGTCATTGCAGTGGGTTTATTGGTCCAATCTAATAACGTCCCGGTGTGTCAGCAATTCAAACAGTAACAGATGGGAATGTTTCACTCAATTACACCAGTGTTAATGGAAAATCCCAATGCACAATCAGTAGCTTAAATATTCTATAAATTGTTTCACTCTTACGTCTACTGTTCAACAGCTCAGCCTGTGAATCTATTTGTGTAAGATGGTTTCACATTAACAGATGAGTTTGCATTAAAAAAAAATTAAGCTTTATACGTTTCATCTGTCAGACATATTTTGTAGTGACTAGAACGAGTGTGAAGCTGAAATCAAACTGCCTATAAGCAACAGCATCAATGGTGTTTTAAGTCGTTAAATCTAAACTTTCAACTAGAAATTGCATTTCCTGCAAAAATGCAGTGTGAATGCTTATTGCAGAAGAATTGCTGAAAAATAGCTGGAATTTGATTTAAAAAAAACATGCTGAAATGTAGCGGGAAATGCAGAACAAGCGTAAATCAGCAGGAGAAAGCAGAAAGAACACAAAAGTTGAAATGAGTGCAAAAAAATGTGGAATTAGCTGAAAAAGCCAATATTAGCATAAAAACAGCAAAATAGTAGCTGAAATAACTGAAACGAGCAGAAATAAGCTGAAAGGAGAATAGCAAGTTGAAATTAGCAGAAATAATTTAATTAGGCTGAAATTAGCAGAAATCATCATGAAAATTTTGAATTTATCTGAAAACGGCTGAAATTAGCTAAAACTGTTAAAAAGCTAGAACAATCTTAAATTAGCAGAAGAAAGCATAAAGAACACGTTTGCCCAATTAGGCTGAAAAATGCAGAAATGGGTACAAAAAAACTGGAAATTACCTGGAAAAAGCTGAAATTAGAGAAAAAAAGAACAGCTGAAAAGAAGCTAAACAGGCAGGAAGTATCTTGAATTGCTTTTGTGTGTTGAACCCCAGTGCAGGAAGATGAGGCGAGACGCCAGTTAAAGCTTATTTTAATAAAACAAAATGCTGGCGGGGCAGCAAACTTACTTTAAGGAGGTAACATGGAGGGATGCAGAAACATGAAGCCATAAACAGGACAATCCAAAGACACTTACAAGGTGAAATGACAGGCACCTGCAGTGATCAGATTAGACACAGGTGCGACAGTGCTGGAGCACAGGGAGGAGAGAAGCTGAGGGGTGACAGACAAACATGAGGAAAACACAACATGCAGGAAGAAGCTTAAATTACCAGCAGGAAGTGGAGAGAGCACATTTCTGCTGAGTTTGGCTAAAAAAAGTTGACATGAGTGCAACAAAAGTGGAATTAGCTGAAAATGCTAATATTAGCATGAAGCATCTACTGGGTAAATAGTAGCTGAAATAGCAGAAAAAGCTGAAACTTGCAGAAATAAGCTGAAAGGAGCGTAACAAGCTGAAATGAGCAGAAATAAGTTAGAAGAAGCGCAAAACAGCTGAAAAAAACCCAGCTAAAATTAGCTAAAAGTAGCTGGAAAAAGTTTAAATTTGCACAAAGCAGCTGAAATAAGCTAAACCAGAACAAAATGTGAAAGGAGCAGTAAAAGGTTGTAAACTGATCTAAACATATGAAGGATGTAAAATGAGCTCAGTTCATTTTCTATGAGAAAAAAAAAAAACTGGCAGAAAAGGATAAATATTTCAAAAAGCGAAAGTTGCACCAATACCAAAAGTCAAACAAGGATTGTCCTGAAAGAGCTGAACGTTTTGATTTATGACTTGTTGAAATAGCACAAAAAATATGGAACGAGAAAGGTGCCAAAAAATGTACGGAAGAAAAACGTATCACAATAGGGTGAATGCTTCATAAACATTCACACAATTAAGCACTTTCAGTTTTAAATAATACATCTATTGTACATGTTAAGGACAATAATTGCTGCACTTTTTAAAGTAATGTTATAGATAGCACTAGTTTTAACTATAATTTACAGCTAAACCTTCATTTTCACCAGACAACTTAAATTCTATAATGATGTATTCTTATTAAAATGATTTTAAAATGGTCATCTCAGGGAGATCTGTGAAATTAACGATCTGAAAATTCTAGTCTTCACGTGTTTTGTGCAAACATACCCACAGTTCGATTAATTTTATAAGACTTATAAGGTTCTATAGGGTTCAGCAATTGTCATATGCCAACATTATGCAATATACATTAGCTGCATGCCTTTTCTCTGCAGCCTATGATGCAGTAGGACAACATATTGCCAAAAGGGATTTTAATTTATATGATGATCTGAGAAATTCTAAAAAAAAAAACAAAAAAAAACTGTTATGTGCTCATATTTTCTCTGCAGAAAGTCATGAGACTACTGGACTTAGCAGCAGTAATTCTTCGGAAAATAAATGTTTTTCTTGCTCCTGTTTACAAGTTGTTTTCTCATCCACAGAAGAGCAACAGTCGTCTTAAGGTTTTAAATTGTTTGGGTTTTTTTTCCAATCAGGTTGTACGGTTTTGAATATTTAAGCTCATTTGTGTCAAATTTTCTGTGTTTGGTTGGTTGTTTTTTTTTTTAATGGTGCCCAAAACGTTCTTCTCGGCTGTTTTGATGGCCGTAACGATATTTAGGTTGTCATATTTAACCAATCCACACGTCAACATTTGGTTAATAATGCTAACGTTTTTGATACTAATTTAAATGCTAAATTTGCACTGATGTTCCTGAGACTAAAAGCAATATCATCAAAGTGTCAACTGTTTTAAAGCAATTATGTCTTTTATGTCCTGGAAATAGATCCTTGTGTAAAATAAATGCTTGCAAACTGGCTACAGGATGTTAGACCATGAAAAAGTGCAGTTTAACACACCATTCTTAACCGATCTTATATCCGGCTGCATTTGATGAGCAGATAACAGAGTGGAAACTTCTTTCATGTGGCAGCTCATTAACTCTAGCTGACTTTTTTCAGATTTTCATTGCACTGTACGACTTCATACCACCTTAATGGGGGGGCTGCAAAGTGGCAGCAGATGTTGTTTTCCTTCTAACATACCTTTCTTACCCTCCTCCTCTTGCTCACCTCATCCTGTGCAGGGGTACTTTAGTGATCCCTGGAATGTGTTTGATTTCCTCATCGTAATTGGCAGCATTATAGACGTCATTCTCAGTGAGATCAACGTAAGTACAACGCCCCGTTTCGCTCTCGTTGTCTCTCTTTCTCACGTCTCTTGTCTTTCGTGTCTTCTCGTTTCTTTCCTCCAGTCTCCTTTCCTCTGCTGTCGTTTCTGTCTTCATTGTCAGCCTCTTCCTCTTTCTCCTCCTCTCTTCATATTTGAATCCAAGATGGCCGCTGCCACTCCGGGGTACCCACCCCTCAAGTTTCTGTCGGGGTTTCACAAAAACGTGAAGACTGCACAGGCAGGGTTCAGCGTCTGTTGCGTTCTCTTATCTTGTTCTTTACAGTGTTTGAAATGTTTAGTTTTATTTATTTTGTTTTTGATTTTGGGCCACACTGTGACAAGTTTAATCCCCCCCCCCCCCCACTAACTGAACTAACCCCTCAAACTTACACAGCTTTTTTAACTCCAACAAAGGGCACCTTTTTCTGTTGTTGTTGTAATTTTGTTCTTGATTGTTGTTCTCGATGACATTTCCTCTCATGGACAAGCATGACCAGTCGCTGCTGCTCCTCCTCTGCTGTCCATCTCTTCCAGACTGCCCGTTCTTTTCTTTTGTTCTCCTACCACCACCATTTAATTTGTCAAATCTTTCCCTCCAGCGCTCCTGTATGTAATGTTTATTATCTTATTTTTTCTCCTCTCTCCTTTGATTTCTGTTGTTTCCATCTTTTTAAATGTACTTTTCTTTTTCTTTTGTTGTTTTGTTCTTTTCGCCACCCTCCACGCAGCATTATTTTGTTGATGCATGGAACACATTTGATGCCTTGATAGTTGTGGGTAGCATTGTTGACATAGCGATCACTGAGGTTAACGTAAGTAGTCCAACTCCCTCCCTCCTTCCCTCCCTTCCTGCCTGCCTGCCTGATCTGCCATTCTCTCGCACACAAACAGACCGAGCGCTGATTCCTATCTGCAAGCTTTCAAAACACTGAAAATCTGAATCTGTGCACTATTTGAACCTAAAAGATGCTTTGGAAGGTGAAATACCCAAATGTAGCACAATCAAACTGAACCGTTGCCTTTGAGCAACCTTCACTTTGAGTTATGTTTCTTTTCGTTTACCGTATTTGTCGGACTATAAGGCACAATATCAATGCACGGGCCGTTTCCATACATAAGGTGCATTAAGCGAAACAAAACAGTCAGATACGTCAAACTTTATTCAACTCATTCACAATAGCCACATAAAATCAGTTTGAGGTCAGTAAGCACAAACTGAATGAATACATAAAGCTCACTATCGATTTTTGAGAAAATTAAAGGATTTTAAGTGCGCCTTATAGTCTGAAAAATACGGTAAATTAATTTTTTCCTCCCCGTCCACGTATTTCCTGAAATCTCATCTTTTAAGACGTGTTTTTGCTTGTATTTCTACTCATTTAAATCAGCTTCTGATAGGTACAAATGTCTCGGTCTGCTGTTCGTAGCATCAGACACTATTGCATTTGTCAATAGAACCTACTGCGTTCACTCAGCACTTGGTTTGGTTACACATAATTTGATTTTCATCACTGCCAGAGTGGAAACGAAGTTCACTCTGGCATGATGCACGTTGTATAGCATGACAGATACAAAGGTGATATATCCAGGCCTGTTAATGTCAGAAAAAATCCAAACCTATGCAAAAGCATGATTCTCAGGTACAATGGAACATGCGCAGATTTGCACCTTTCAGCAGCGAAGTTTTGACCAAAAGGTCAACAATGCCTTGAATTCATAAATCAGCAGGAAATCCTAAAGTTCAAATGAGCCAAAACACAACTTGTTTTTATCAGAATCTGCAAACATAGGGAGCAATTTGATCCCAAAATGGATTTACTCAGTACCCATGAAATTTATGCAAATGCATGTATGAATTCATTTATTATCTGCATGACGGCTCTGCGGTCAACGACGGGCCTGACTGAGATTAAAAAAAGAAAAACAGACACAGAGGATCGTTTGTCGTGTTTACACTTCAGGAACAGTTAGTTTTTATTTTTGTGATATATGAAAAATCTTTGGCAGCTGAATTGCTTGATAATAAGATAGAAGCGTTGAGAATGTTGCTGCACCAAAATATTAAATTTATAACCTGATCAAACTGGTTAAAAGCAGAACGCTTAAAAAAATAGTGGCATTCCTTAAATTAATGCATCATCAGCTGAATGTCATGCAACCTCGTGGTGCTCACAGTGTTTGTTTGGGATGACTCTAACCTACTGCTACATCAAATTTGAGCTCATTATTTCTAAAAATAAAGACAGAAATATAGCCATTTTTGTGTTTTCTAAGAGTGATTAGCTGCGGTGGATAAATAAACACAAATACAGTGACATCAAAGTTCATGCTCAATAATCCAGGTAAAAATAATCCAACAAAGTTCAGTCAGGTCATCTGGACGGTTTCTTTTCATTCTTTTTTTTGTTGAGACGTTTCGTCCTTCATCCAAAGGACTTCGTCAGTTGGAGGAGCCACAAAAAACTGAGTCCCACAAGCAGCACACCCACATAGTGGACCAAGTGGCTACCTTGGAGGGGTTGATGGGGTAGAGGGCAGGCCCCAAAAATCATCTTATCACCAGCAAACTGGTTGGTCCATTATGTGGGTGTGCTGCTTGTGAGACTCAGCTTGTTGTGGCTCCTCTGACTGATGAAGTCCTTTGGAAGAAGGGCGAAACGTCTCAACAAACAAAAAAGAAAGCATCCAGATGACCTGACTGAACATTTTTTTGACAGACAGTTACATCATCACCTTTAGTTTCTTGGGGCAGGTGATAAAAGTTATTTTCTATCTGCTTATTACGGTGGCCCTGAGGTGTAAATGAACAACATTTGAAAAAACGGAATTACATTTAGGGGCGGCTGTGGCTGAGTGGTTAGAGAAGTCGTCCTCCAATGCGAGAGTTGGGGGTTCGAATCCACCAGCAGTCACATGTTGAAGTGTCCCTGGGCAAGACACTGAACCCCTCATAGCCTCTGATGTGTGTCCCATCAGTGTATGAATGTGATAAAGCACTGATTAGTCTCATTAGAATGATTTGTTCCATTTGTTTTGTAGAGATCTAGTAGAGTGCTGTATGAATGGGTAAATGAGGACACACATTGTAGTATAAAGCGCTTTGAGTGTCTTGAAATAAGATAGAAAGGTGCTATATAAATACAGTCTATTTACCATTTAAACAAAATGGAATTACATATTCAGCCAAAGCAGAAGTGGCCGGAATCACATTTGAAAAAAACTGCATCACATTTGAAAGAACAAAATTACGTTAAGCCTAAACCTAAGCCAAAGCTAAAGCGGAAGTGGGCAGAATCACATTTGAGAAAAACAAAATTAAATTTGAAAAAAAAAAATTAAAAAAACACAACAAAAACATAACATTTGAAAAAAAAAAACACTGAATTATATTAAGCCAAAGCGCAAGTGGCTGAAGTGGAAGTGGCCGCAAATCACATTTGAATAAACAGAATTCCGTTTGAAAAAATTGAATTAATGTAATGTAATGTTTGTTCAAATGCAAGGCCGTTTTTTTTTTTTTTTTCTATTCTGATTCCAGCTACTTCCGTTTTGGCCACTTCCACTTCAGCTTCTGCTTTGGCTTAATGTAATTCCGTTCTTACAAATGTGATTCCGTTTTTTCAAATGTCATTCTGGCCACTTCCACTTTGGTCACTTCCGCTTTGACCACTTTCGCTTTGGCTTAATGAAATTCTGTATTTGTCAAATGTGTTTTTGTTGTGGTTTTTTATTTTTTCAAATTTAATTGTGTTTTTTGAAATGTAATTCCGTTTTTTTCATATGTTGTTCATTTACACCTCAGGGCCACTCTAGCTTCTACGTTAATCTTGAATTCAGAGAGAAAGTGACATCAAATTTAGGATTTTTTACTGAAAACCCCTTCAAAATGCTCAGATTCTTTCTTGTTCAGAGACATAAAGGACGGTCAGAATGTGCACGGTATGACAGTACATTCATGTAATGTGGAACGCTGTGTGTTACAGCTCACAAAACACTGGTCTGCATACTAATAAGGCTGTTGTGTCCCAGGGGTGTATAGAGTCTTTAGAAAGAGAATCCATTTGCCCCCATGAGAAGCTCTCAAGGCTGCCTCAAATAACTGTGGAAGCCAAAATGTACCTGGATATTACGTTTTATTCAGCTTAGAGAAACGTTATAGCAAAGGAAACTATCATTTAGTCCAAATGTGTTTCTTTTCAAGTTAAATAAAACTATAATTAAAATTAAAATGCATCCACAAAGAGTGTACAGATATGAAACAATATAGCAAAAGATCAATAAGTTACTTTTATTCAAGTTTGTTGGCTAAAAATATACACCTTTGTCATCTATACAGACTTTGCACTGCATAATTTGGTTTGGAGTTTGCTTTCAATTTGACTGATTTGGGCAATTTAGAGATTGATTGATTTAAGTGAATGACTCAATTTTTAAATTATTTCATTTTATTTTGTACTTCTTGTCTGAAGGCATGCCCAAGTTAGGATTTCTTCTTCGTTCTCCTTGATGATTTTTAACATTCTGGGTTATGAGCTACATTTTTTTATTCTTCTTTTCCTTTTTTTAAGAAACCCTCCGCACTTCAATCCTATAAGAGAACTAATTGTTTTCAAACCGGGACCCTGAAATATTGCCTGCCACTTCATTTCAGTGATTTTTAACCGTAAAGCAAATCATTTAAAAAGCGAAATTATCCGCTTTGCAGCGTCTGGCCTGCTCCAATTGATTTTATATAGTGAAGTGCAGTGACAGACTTTAAATGCTATAACTCTGTTTTTAATAATAAGTACATGAAATATATTGAACTATATAGGGTGCCTGTTGTCTTAGATTAGCTGAAAGTATTTTTATGACACTTGAAAGTAAATATTTCCTAATCACGGGTCTCTCATTCCTACCCCCCCAGCAACCTGCGGGTGCTTCTTAAACCTTGTTTGGATTCTTTTTTAGTTTGGTTTGAGTAGACGTAGTGTGAACAGACTGGCAGTGGTTTGCTCGGAGCGGTGTCTTGCAGAGGATGAATTGCATCCATTTCTCTTTTCTCTCTCCGGAATGCCTCCTCTTCTCTTCTTTATCTGCCTCCTTGTCTCTCTGAGCTTTGTCCTTTTACTCCTCTTTTATTTGTGTTTACTTCTCTCTTTCTTTGTCTTTTTTTAATTGTTGGTTTGCGGTGCTGCTTGTGCACCTGAAATGCGAGCAGGGTAACATGGGTTTGTAGGGCCCTTCTGAATAAAACCGCTGATTGTAAATGAACAAACAGCACTGGTGAGTTTTATATCTCTGCTCACTCAACTCTTTTTACTGTTAAAACAAACTGATCCAGAAAAAAGTTTCTAGATCTACAGGAAGTATCACCCATGTTCCCCTGGTACTGACTGAACTGTTTAAAGTTTTGCCTGAAAAAAAAAAGTATTGCAAAGATTATGAGTTCTTTATGGAACAACACAAACTCACTGTAGACTCTTTCATTTAGGTTTATGATAAAGCGCATCAAATACATTTGATGAATTGCCACATATGCATGTACACGTCACACACACACACACACACGCTCACGCAGAGAGAGAGAAAGCTTGATTTAAGTTTTAAACAATGAATTCAAAGTATTCTCAAACTGACCCGTCTGTTATTGAAACATCACACTCAAACACAGATTCTCTGTAGTTGCACTTGAAATGTGTCCCTTCCTTCCTTCCTTCCTTCATTCCTTCTTTCCTTCCTTATTATTTCCTTCTTTCCTTTTTTCTTTCCTTCCTCACTCCCTTACAGCCTTACCTTCTTTCTTAACCATTCCTTCCTTCTTTTCTCCTCCCCCCTCTTCCATTAATTCTTTCCTTCCTTATATTTCCTTCCTTCCGTCCTTTTTTCCTTCCTTCCTCCCTTACAGCCTTACCTTCTTTCTTCTAACATTCCTTCTTTCTTTTCTCCTTCCCTCCCTTCTGCTCTTTCTTTCCTTCCTTATTCTTTTCTTCCTTCCATCTGCTCCTTTCAATTTTCCTTTATTTTTGCATGTGTTCCTTTCTTTCTTCTTTCTTGTCTTCCTTCCTTATTATTTCTGGTCCTTCCATTTTTCTTTCCATTTATTATTTTCTTCTTCTCTCACTCTCTTCTTTCCTTCCTTCCTTGCTTCATCCCTTCTTTCCCTCTCCTTCCTCCCTTCTATACCTCCCTCCCTTCCCCTCACAGTATTTAACAGGTTTTATCTGTTGCTCTCAGCTGAAAGATTCTCCACTCAGACTCACAGTCAAACCAACAAATGTGTCTCTTTGTTGGTTTCATGTTTACCAGCAGTTTGGAAAGGCTGAACGGATTAAAGTTTTATAAATTAGAGGTATATTTATATATATGAATAGAATAGTGACATACAGTCCTGTTGGAATTCCTTCTTTCCTTTCGTTTTCACTTATCCCCATTAAATTATCTCTCTTTTGTTATTATCGTCTTTGTAATTTATTTTCTATTTTATCTCCAATTAGCTTTCTGTTGTCCCCTCTCTGAGGCTTTTCTGTATTTACTCCCCTTTGTCTTTTTTCGTCCCCTCAAAGTTAATTTAACTGCTCAGGCCTGTGCAGGTCAAGCGTTTCGCCCCCTCTTGTTGTGTTTATTTTTGTGGTAAGGTTGTTTAACATGGCTAGTTCCAGTGCAGAGTTAACATGTACTGGGTCATAGGTTGAACTTCCAGTTCATCTACATGTATAGCTCCATTGCAAAATGTTGCAATCCCAGGGATGACCAGCAGGTGTCCCTCTACTGAAATTTGAGCCTCTCAGACACAAGTGAGCTCAAACTTTTCAGTCATTTTCCAACCGTACTCAGATTTTTTACCTTGTTATGTTATTCTGCCGCTTCTTCGGCCTGAAAATAATTGAACGTTCTGACCTTGATGATTTATAAAGAGTTTGTGCTTCACAGTTTTAGCCTATTTTCAGGTCAAAGAATCATTGTACATTTAATAACAGTCTGTAACTTCAGCTGGCAGAAAGAAAAACAGATAGCTACAGAGGCGCCACATCACATTCAGACTGATGTACTCTCAGAACTGGCAACCTTTTTCATCACCCAGTATTTGGACAGATGCACTCCACACATCTACGTATTTATGTCTTGTTCAGATGAATGTGGCCTGCAGAAGTTATGGCAGCAACGTCACACTCAGACTTTATGCTCACTGCCACGAGAGAGGGTTGATCAGAAACTGAACTCTCACTGCCCTAAACCTCATGGTTTATGGGTCACTTGTGTCCTGCCTGGTTCTGAACTTTCACAATCATACACACACACACACACACACACACACACACACACACATGAACACAAAGGCGCTACTCTGGTGCTGATCTTTGTTGCCTTTCCTTAAAGCCAGCTGATTCCTCCTCGTCCTCTTCGTCCTCCTCTTCCTCCTCTTCCTCTTCTCACCCCCCTGTGGTAAGGCAAATGGTACGCCATGACGGTAACCTCGTCCGCCTCCCCACCTCCTCCACCATCATTCCATCCCTCCGTCCTTCAATTCCTCCTCCTGCTATGCCGTCCATGGTATGACGTCAAACGTATGGCTTCTCATTCAGCGTCACCTCCGTTCTGTCGCTGGTGCTGTGATCTTCTGCAGCATGCTCAGAGTTATATTCATGTGCTCTGTGCAAAAGTGTTGAGCCACCACTCATTGCTTTATCTTTTTGTTTTCAAGGAGCCAAACTTTCTAAGTGATTTCGATTGCTACTTCTTAAGGTCTGTTTCTGAGACCTAGGCTGTTTTTTTCTGAGCAAAATGATCCATTTTCAACCTGGTTCTCTACTAAGTTGGCTGTTATGTGTCGACACAACACAGGCTTATCGCTTGAGAGTAGTTTATGTTCCTGGAGTCTGAACAGTTAGGCCAGAGTCAAGTGGCTTAGTAAATTTAAAAAAATGAAAATAAAGATTTGAAAATGGTTGTGTACCGAACTGAAAATTTGTGGAAAAGCAGCCAAAGTTTAAAGATAAAACTGTAAAATATTTTCAGACAGATTGAGAAAATACTGATCAAGACCATTTTATTTTGCTTTGCAAAGTTTAACTCCTTGGAATTTAAAAAAAATGGGAAATGACGTGTGTGTGTGTGTGTGTGTGTATATATATATATATATATATATATATATATAATATTTATGTCTATGTATGTATGCATCTATCTATCCATCTATCCATCCATTTCCATCCATCCATCCAGCCATCTGTCTATTTATCTATCTGTTTAGGATAGCTAGCTATCTTTGTTTTTAAATCAGTAGTTTTGTTTGTATCTGATCAAATCAAATATTTTTTTCATCTTCAGTGTCTCTCTCCTGCTCTCCTCTTTACTCCTCACTCTCTTTTCCTACACCTCTCCTGCCCACTGTTCCATCTCTCTCACTGGTGCTGTGGCGCCGACTGTGGTCCAGTTGTTGTATTGCTCGTGGTACTGAGTTGTGATTTCTGCTCCTGAGAAGGACGTGTCATTTTCAACATATCTGTCATATAATTTCTCAGTACATTCTCAAGAGACATATGACTTTCATAATTTAAAAAAAAGCTGTTATTTTCTCAACAGAACAATTAAAATATAGTTTAAAAAAATAGACCATTTAGGATTTAACAATAACATCATGCTGGAGAGTAATACATGTTTGCTATCCTAAACTAAAATTAGATATGTGAAGAATGACATGTTCTTTATTGGCACGCACTGCGTGTTCTTTTTGGATTAACATAAAGTATTAATGGCTTCTTGGAAAAACACAAGTGGCAAAAAGACTCGGAGGCCAGACAGGAGGATGCTGTGTTTGTTGGGTCAGTTTATTCATTTAAAATCTGAGGACAGACATTGAGTGATCTGCTTTGATAGCTAAAATGCCCTGCTGAGTGAGGTCAAATTTATTATAAGCCTGCTAGCACATTTGTATTAAGGAGCAAAAAAATGGGATGAGTTCATGGCTAGTTTTGACCCGATACATGTACCTTTTATGATCCAAAATGTAAATACTGTCTTTAGTCATTTCGTGCAGTATTTACCACATCTAGATGAACTGAAACCCCAACATTGCTTTTTGGATTTTTGTCCCAGAAAGCAAACAGGAACAGCATCAATAAATAAATCTGTATTAAAACAGCACTCTGCTTCAGGATTAAATATTTTATGGTGGAGTTACTTCCAGTTGATGACTACGTGAACTATAGGAAGTTAGAGAAAAGGGTTCACTAAGTTGTATCAATATTGATCAGCTTAATTTGCCGTGAAGGATTTGAACTCCAAAAATTTTGGTTTGGTTAAATTAACTGCAATCTTTAAGTTGTTCTTAAGATTGCCTTTGTAAACTAGCGCAGATGTTTGGCTAACTGTTTGGTAGATGAACATGTGGAGATATATGTGGTGTGTGCATTCAGGAAGTTGGTGGATTGTTTGTAACTGCCGAGTGGTTTTTCCATGAAGTCAGATAAAAAACAAGCACGGTTGCTCGATTCCCCCCCAGTCCTTTATTGTCATTTTTATACTGATGGGATTTTTTGAGGATACCGATTTCCACTTATTAACTGTTTGTGTGTACTTGTGTTATGCATATTACCATCCATGTGTTGGTGGAAATATGCATACAAAGTGCTTGAGTGTCTGCATTTTGACATTTGTTTTTGTGTGCTCATGAATGTGTGTGTGTGTTGCCTTTCCTTACTTATGTGCATGTGTTCCCATGTGTCCTGTTTACGAAAAACACACAAAATCCCATCAAAAGGGTCTTCAGAATTCTGAGGAGAATGCCAGGATCTCCATTACCTTCTTTCGGCTGTTCCGTGTGATGAGGCTGGTGAAGCTGTTGTCTCGTGGTGAAGGGATTCGGACCCTGCTGTGGACCTTCATAAAATCCTTCCAGGTGAGTGGGGAACCAGACACTGTGGGCAAAAGTAAGAGGATAGGGTTCACACAGGACACAATGCCAAGAGGTGGAGCAGAATTTCTCTGAGAGACTAAAGCATTTTTATTCAAGATTTGATCATTCAGGATAACAATATTAATTGTGACCTTCACTTTTACGTGGCAGTGATAAAAAAAAATCAATTAAAAAAAATTATATATATATATATATATTTAATGAGTCAAAATAATACACTACACTGAGAATTGAGGGGTTGTTTTGATGATTCAGTTGTTGGGTTAAAGCTGTTGGGTCACAGGTCGGGCTGGTTGACTAAACATCGAGTCAAAAGGTTTGACCAGTGTTTGGACCAGTGGACCAGTGTTTGCACCAGTGTTTGGACCAGAGGACCAATGTTTGGACCAGTGAATCAGTATATGGACCAGTGTACCAGTGCTTGGACCAGTGAATCAGTGTTTGCACCAGTGGTTGGACCAGAGAACCAGTATTTGGACCAGTGAATCGGTGTTTGGACCAGTGAATCAGTGTTTGGACCAGTGTTTGGACCAGTGAAT